ATCGATCAAAAGAAAGAAAATCTCTCGTCTTTCTCTTATTAAACAAAATACACACTGGTGATGATTTTAATCCACGGATATGACAAGAATATTCCACATCAAGACCAAAATACACTTCTGAGGCCAGAATTAGATCTGTACATCTTCTGTGATGTGTTTATAGTTAATACGTCAAAGATTATTTCCTACTGTACTGATATAACCGGTAAGCAATGTTTGTTGACATGTTTATTTATTGATTGATTGATTCCATCCATTAATTTTCTTCCGTTTATCTAATTCAGGGTCGTGGGGGGCTGGAGGTTTTCCCATCTATCGTTATAGGGCGAAGGGTGGGGTACAACTTGGACAGATCGAAACAGTTCAATTCATTTTTAAATATGAAACTCACATTTATACCCACAACCAATTTAGAATCGCCACCTAACCTAACCCCACTAACTGCATGTCTTCGAACTGTGGGAAGCCAGAGTACCCGGAAACGACACAGAAAGACAGGGGGAGAACACGCAAATTCAGGACCTTTTTGCTGTGAAGCAACAGTGCTAGCCACCATGCTAATTTTATTTTATTTTATTTCTAGTGTGTATGTAATTTAAAAAAAACTAAAACGCCGCTGTCAAACTGTTGGAACTGTAGAGGTCATGTGGTATGTGTTCCCCCCCGGACAAAAATAAGAGACGTGCGGTATAGTAACTTAGCGAACTCACGTGCACAACATGAAAAACTTTAAAAACAAAGGGTCCAAAAATGCTAAGTTCAAGCCAGGATCGAAGAAGAGGGAGAACAAATGCGTCGTAACGTTTGACGAGAAAAACAGACAGTAAGTTTGAAAGCGCGTCGCTGAAAACACTGTTTCAACATGCTGGCTAGCATCACAGCACTAGCGCTGATTAGCATGGACTAGTACCAGATTTTAGTAAATGTTTTTATTTGGGAAGCTTATTTGGGAAATAAATGTGTGTAATTTGTGTAAGATTTTAACCAAATAAGTGGAGGCCTTCCCATCTTCCCACTCTCCTCGTCATATTTGAACATGCTGATGGTGTTCAAACTATCATATACCTGCATTTATAAATATTGTTAATTTCTAGAAATGTTATTATTTGACTAAAATTTTTTGTTAGGTAATATAAACCTCATAAATTAACTGTAGCCAGTCTTGCAGTTTGAGTTATAAAGGTTCCTCTTAATAAAGTACACCTTTCTAAGTCTGACTTAATAAATCTTGGTTTTGGACTTTAATCTGCTTCTCTCTCAGGGAATATCTTACCGGCTTTCACAAGCGTAAGGTGGAGAGGAGGAAAGCGGCAGTAGAAGAAATTCGAAAGAAAATCAAGGAAGAGCAGATAAGAGTCAGAGAAGACGTGAGTCCTCATGGAAAAGAGCCCCGATTTAAAGCCTGTTTTTGCTTAACGCCTGAGCATATTGAGAAAAGAGGCAATGGTATTAAATGTGTTTGTCTCCTCACAGAGACACAAGGAATACATAAAGATGCTGAAGGAGAGGACAGAAGCTCTCGGTGAGTTTACAGGAAAACTTGTGCTCTGGTTATTTTACTGATGTCTCATAATCTGTGCATGTAGCTTCATTGTCCTTTATGTGATCCTGTATTGCAGAGGATGGCGAAGATGATCTGGAAGATGCGATAACCAGCACAACAGAGTCTATGCAGTACGATCACCCCAACCACACAGTAACCGTGACAACCATCAGTGATCTTGACCTCACAGGAGCTCGCCTTCTCGAAGCTGCGGCAAACCAGGTAAATATTAAGGTCTGTAATCATCTGAATAGGCTATATGTGTGTGTTCTTCTAAGTTTGAAGATAACACTGAAGGTAATAATACTGCATTAACACTGAGTATGCTTGTTTTAAAGGCTAATGAGGAGCATGACGATGAGGTTGAGGGGGAGAAAGAGGAAGAGAAAATGGTTGGAATGCCAAAAAAAGCTGGGAATCCAATACTTAACAAAAAGTAAGCAGTTTGTTTGTTAATTGTTAATTGTTGTTTGTTAATTTGTTTGTTAATTTGTTAACAGTTTGTTAATCACGTCTCTAATTGAGAGGAGCTTGTGATCAGTTTTGTCCTGCTTTTAAGATTAAAACGTTGGACTTTGTGTCCAGTGTTGGACGGTTTTTTGTTTGAGCTGATTTCATTTGCTCAGCTAATGTCATGTCAGGATGATGCTGGTGGATGAGATGAGTTGTTCTGTTTGTAGTATTCTCAGAGTATAATGTATTTAATAAAACATTGATATTTGGTGTCCC